CTGATAGTTCAACGGATAATGGTCTGTAGGGTTTGGTCAGCGTAGACAAATTCCCTACTATAACGCAATAGTGGGAATAAGTTTGTGCAGTCAGAAAAAATCATTAAAAAAAACCCTGAAAAATACATCATATTTTGTTCTAAGTATAGAAATAATATTTATAACTTGTTGTGAATTTGTGACTTATATAAGGTTATTCTTAAATCTTATGTTTTATATTWTAGTTACTGAATTGAATGGTGAACGAGACCATCTAGCCGAGAAATATGAAAATGCCCGTATAGAGCTTCTTCATTTGCAAAGTCGTGTGTCTTCATTAGCTGGAGATTTGAATCGCATGAAAACCGAAGATGATAATAAAATTCCAATTGCTGTGCATACGTCTGCTGTCAACGAATGTCGGAGGTATATATAATTATTATTTTTTTATTCTTGTACCTACGTCAAAAATATTATATAAAATAATTCATGTACTATCTACTATAGTTATTAGTTACCTACTACACCGGTTAGCATATAAAGCAACATTTAATGGTTTTTGTATGAATGTTATACAAGATTTTAAACTATTATATATTATTATGTAGAAGTTCTTAACACTTTTGTAGACTTTTCGAAGAACTCAAGTGTCGGTACGACGATGAACGTGATACGTTGATGCGAAGGTTGATAACTTTCGAAGAGGAAAGACCTACGCTCGACATCAGGATCGTTACTCTTACCACTGAATTAAATCAACAGCGGTCTATCAACAAAGCTTTGGATTTACAGTGCTCGTAAGATGCAATTTATAATATTATGTGTTGATTTTTAATATACAATTTAATATATTTAGGGGGGACTAGGTGGCCGAGTGGTCTACCGCGTCGGCTGTGGCTCAGCCGGACCGGGTTCGATCCTCGACCATCGGGYGGCATTTTTCTCCGGGCAAGTCACGGTGTCCCGAGAACAAGTGCCGCCATCCCCCACTCCGGGGCATGGCAGAAACCCACGGGTGTCCCAATAGAAATTCTGCCAAAAACTCTCACCCTCGTGTAAAACCAACCTACARTTCCATAAGAACCTACAGTACTACCCCCTTCCCAATGGCCTTAGTTGCCGCGGGATAAAAAAAAATATATATTTAAATCATAACGATTCAACAACCCAATTCGATGATGATGCGTTATAGTTTAGGCGTATGTTGTATGTATAATTTAGTCAAAACGATATAGGTTAAACGTATATAGGTTTAATATAAAATCATAATAAATAAACATGATATTCGTGAGTGTCCAAAACGGATGACGTCTACACGGTGTAAGAGTTTAACAATGTTTTTTATAGGTATGTCTATATAAAAGTATAAATTATGATAATTTAATATTAAAGTATGTGTGATGTAAACGTATGAATAAGTTGTTTAAAAAAAAACAAAGAATAAGAACATGATATTGCAGACTGCTGAAGAAACTACGTCTTATAGGTACGCAGAACGCGCCATTTTCGACAGACAGTATSATACTCTAGGTATAAAATATACACGCCGCTGGGGGTCATCCGACATTCGGCTATCGAAGTGGTTACGCTCATAGGCGCTTCCAGGAATTTTGGCAGGGGAGTGAATAGTATACTTTGATTTCTAAACAATGTTTAAATTATTTTAGTTAAATACGTAGAAATATTTTTTCAAATTATTTGACGATACAAAGTTATTTTTGTTTTTTCGTCAAGTACAAAGTTTTTAATAGATAATTATGCAAAAAAAA